ATATTCTTCCTTTCTAGCACTAATACAAAATGACAATATACAAATGATTGATGCGATAAGGGGTGAAATCATATCGTGATAACGTTAGATGCTGCGCGAATCATTGCAAAGAGTTTACGAACATCGGCGATAAGGGACCGTGCTCCGAAATGGAGACGCGCGCGCGCGATCTCTTGCTCACCTATCATTCTCAGCTGTTCGCGCACTGGACACTAGGCTTTCGACACTTCCGCGTAGACTACTCTTCTTCAGAGGCAGCAGCTTATCGAGCAACGGCATCATAAAGCCACAGCCCGTCGTCTATAGTTAGCCCGCATCGCTCATCAGACTCGTGTCCCCGGGGTCTATCATGTCACGCGGAACTGCACCATACATGTTCGCGGGAGTGTAAGTCTACTGTAAATAAAGTCACGTGCGGAAGAGTCATATGATTGCCGGAGATAATAGCACAGCTGAAATCGCTGTCGCTGGCTGAAATGGCACGCTCGAGGTCGCAACGTGACGGAAGCCGCTCCTTAAATCGGACTCATTCATGCCATTTTTTCCATATGTGACATGGATTTTTTCACATCTGTCATGTGTGAATGAAATATTTTTATGATCTTCCTAAGATGAATTAAATTTTGCGAAAATTCACGGAGTATACCGATGGACGAGTTTTATTGGATCATTAGTAGATCCCGCAAGATGGAGACACCCGTTATATCGTGCAACAATGAGCGGTCGCTTCAAAGGCATGTTAGGTCTGCTGATATTGGTATGCTTACATCGCACATTTAAGGGTCGATGATACCAGACGTCAGCTATTTTGGAGTATGATGTCAGAAGGGAGAGTTCATACAAATTTATGGCCGCGTAAATGATTCCTTATCATAAAATTTGTTTTAGTTTTTGATAAAACACAGGCACAAATAAAAAAATATATATTTGTGCAATACACATATAAATACGACGTACGTAATATATAAAATTATATGTAAAAGTGATTTAAATACGTTTTTGAATTGTATATTATTTTATATATGCCACCTATGTCTGTATTTTTTCTCTGTCTCTGTTCTTTGAATGTTATCATAATCATTTGCCTTTTACTATAGTTTAGCTATAGGTATTAATTATGCATTGCAATAAAATAATCGATTGCATACAGAGATGATAATTTTGAAACAACTTTCGTTTTTATATAATAATTTCTCAGAGAATTTACGACGTTGAAAAAAATGTACAAGTTATGTCGAATCAATATGCATATCAAATAAAGCGCGAAATACATTTACAAAAGGCATGCCCGAAATCACGTTTCACATATAAACTTCAATCGATCCGCTTCATCGTTCGCGCCTCGTCGTAATGGAACGTTGTCGTCGACGTTTCTGCGCATCTTGTTGTTCAATATAAAGCGATGGATATATTCGGCATTTTCGACGTTCGTACGAGACATTTCGAAGGCTTTCTTGATGTGGTTCTTGCTGAATAACGGCAAATAAATCGGAAACTCGATATTAAATCGCAGTATCAGATCGCCCCTCTGCTTCGGATTTGCTGGAAAAGGCATACCTTCTCCTGATATACGTTTGGTGTAATCCGGTCTGTGAGAGGCAAAAGATGATTTAAATAAGACTTGTTTAGCTCTCTCAATTGTAATCTTAGTAAACAAAAAAAAGAAAATTATTCAAAATCAAATAATGTATTAAGAAAAGCTAACATTGATAAAATTGACTTTAATGGATTAATTGCTCTCTATTTTTATATAAAAAATAATATTTTATTCGAGATTTTTTTATCTAAAGCAAATTAATCCAAAAAGAAAATTTATAATCAAAATAAACTAATAAAGAAATAAACTAATAAAATTAATAAAAATAGCGGAACGTTGAACGACAAACATGATGCGGTCTTATAACGGGTTTTCGTACGCAACGATCGATGTTATCGGGATCCGAAGAGTTCTGTCGTCGACGGTGTTAAACGTGATCACCGTTCCGGTCAGCGCCTCCCTTAGAAAGATATCGACCGTCATGTGCAAGTCCGAGCCCTCTCGCCGGAACGTTTCGTGAGGCCGATCCTCCGTGACGAAGATAACATCCGCTACGCTAACGTGTCTTAGACTTAGTGAAGATATCATCCCTTGTTACGATAACGTTTATCTTTAACCCTTATTTCACGGAATTCGCATTGTCATGTGACGCGATTTGATCATTTTATATTTGACCACAGATTGATATAATCGTTATGCATTGCAAATTTTTTCCTTAACTTAACAATGTCGACAAATAACGCTAGATTGATGACACAATTAATATAGATTAATATTTATCACAAGAGTCAATTTAAATTTTCAAATACATTCCAGTATCATTAATTTAAAAAAAATTCACTCGCGGATAAACTTTTATAAGTTAAAGTTGCAAGTAAGAAATGATTATGCATCAATATTACTATTTAGAAAATTAGTTTCAAAAAGAAAAAAAAATTAAATATTTTACTTTATCCTTAAAAATTATTTTAATATTAGTTTTATTTGATTTTATATTAATTGATTTATTTTTATACATGAAAAATTATTTGCTCTTGTAATTAGAGCGGAATTTGGTGAACAACAAAAATCCATCTGTTTTATTGTTGCAATTGTAATAATATCCAAGCAACCGCACTTATACACTCAAACTCAAGAATACAATGGAAGGACTTACCGGGTACCTTTGTGGGTCCCTGATCACCTTCTTCTGGAAATACTATTCTGGTACCCGGTGGGATCCCCGGTTTAATAGGTATCGTCAAAATTTTTTCCATCGATACCGTTGTCGACTTATCGTCGCCGACTAAGACCAATCTTTGAATTTTCATTTTTTTTATTCCGCCGAAAAATACCTATAGTGAAACATTTTCTGTTATTCCAATGCAATTATATCTTCTTATCTTCGCTTTTTACAATGCTTTTATACATATTGTATTTATATAAAATTCAAGATTAAATTAATTTTTATTATCTTCCGAAAAATTTTAAAACTTTGAATAATATTAATAATGAAATAATTTCGAAAGAAAGAAGCAATTTGTAAATAATTCGCAATATATATCTCTCTTGAAAAGCGTAAGAAAAAATAATCAGGGATGTAGCAAAGATCAGTTTTATACCTCCGAAAGAGTTAGAAATAAAGTTTTGATCCAAGGTTCTTCTTTTCGTTTAATACCTCGACCTTCGGGAAACTGGAATAGAGGTTGGGGCTCAGTTAGAATGTTTAAGAGATCGTCGTATGGATTTTGAACCACAAAAAATTCCCTGAAAATTTATAACTAACATTAATTTCTAAAATATCGGAAATTTATTTTTATAAAGGACCAACAATTGTAGCTTAATTTTGAATATTCGATCTACTGTGTGTGTGTAAGCATATAATAAACATATATTTCAAAAAATATTAATTCCGAGAAAAAAAGTGCTTTAAAATAACACATTGATCGCAAAACCAATATCAAAAGCAAACATATAAATTTACGATTCAATTCGTAACAATTGCAGAAGATCAATGGCTTTCCATTTCACCTAAAGGTTCGCATCGGCTCCCCGTGATAGACATAAGGTTTCACAAATCCTTCTGGTCGCGACACACCATTTTTAAGACCTTCTTCACCGTATTGATCATACACGGTTCTTCTAAGAGGATCTGAGAGCACGTCGTACGCTTCAGCTGCTAAGGCGAAAATCGCCTCAGCACCTCCATTCTTTTGCTGTGCTGGATTGTATCGTACAGCGCATCGTCGATATCTAAAAAAAAAATAATCGCGCTATTATATGTCAATGCGATACATTTTTCACTGTTATATTTTTTCGTAAAATATATCATTACTATAATATTGTATATATATAATATTGAATGATTTTATCAGAGAAAAAGAAAGAGAGAGAGAGATATATATTATTTAATATATATCGTAAAGAAATTATATTATATTATAAAAATATCACTGATATTATTAATAAATAAAATAACAAATACAATAATATATACGTAATATACTATCAAGAGTATAAGACGATTAATTGTTTTGTGTTCTTATATATGCATATTGTATAAAATAAAAAATGTTATTAATTTACATAATAATTATTAATAGTGTTTTGATCTATATTAAACTAGCAGTAACAAAGAAAATGAAAAAGAAAATCGAAGACTTTGATAATAAAAATCAATAATTATTGTATAGCGTAAAAATTTGCATATATAAAAGAGTTATGGGTAAGACTCTCATGATATCTTTCTCGAAATGGATCAACGCGCGGTTGCTTTGATGTCGCGTTGGTAAAACAGCCGTAGATAGCCGAGCAAGCGAATGAAGGAAAGTAATCACAGTGTGGAGTAGGTTAGGGAATCATCAATTTCTCTCAAATAATTCCGTATTTTTAATCGGCCCTTTATTATTAATTCTTCACTCGACGCAATTATCAGTTTTATTTTGTTGCCCGGGCAATATATAAATGTATCTCTCGCGCTTTTTTTTTTTTTTAAATCACGCTTACGCTTCTTTAATTTCTGTATCGTTACAGTTCCTTCCCAACGACAATATTTTGTAATAGTCTATATTATTAGATTTACACACGCATTTATCATGTAATACATCCGTATTAAAATCTGCATTCGAAACTTGAGAAATCATGTGGAGAAGCGTGAGTGGCAAAGAATAATGCAAAAGAATCGAAAAATGACATTTATACTTAATTGAGTCTTTTGTGGCCAGCGTCTTTTGTTCTCTTCGGCATGGCAATTCATCAGAATCATTGGATGACAAAAAGATCAAAAATAAGACAATCGGTGCATCGTTACGTGTTTTCAACAAGCGACGCGGCGCCGACGACAACGGAAGAATGCCTGCATTCATGTGTCACGTCTCGCCATTATCAGAAGATTCAGTGCATTATTAAACACGCATAACAATACTCGAAATCGGTGCGACGGTTGAACCTCAGTGGCAAGTCCAAGCGACAAATTTTTATCTCTATGGAGACTCGCGAACGTGTCTTGAATTTCGCCGAAAAGGGTAAGCGTATAAAATCGAGTTAGCCTAAACATTTCATGACGCGACAATCGGTCGAAACGCGCATGTCGACTAAATGCACATTGAATAATGCAAAGCGCGAAACATTTGCGTGAAATATTTTTAAAACAGTTCAAAGTATAGATAAACTTCAAGATTTAATATCCGAAGATCAAAACGAGAAATAAGAAATTCAAAGAATATTTAAATATAAATATAGAGATGATTTATTCAGATATATATAGAGATAAAACAATTATTAATACAATAGAGGATAATATAAATGTTTTAATAATAATAGTATTAAAAGTAGATATACCAGAGAAGTTTTAAAATTTGATAAAGCTTTTTTTAAAGAAAGTACACCCTTAAAAATGATTTTAAATAATATTCTCTATGCACAGATGAAATAAATGAGGTCTCTGAAGAAAAGAGATGCATCCGCGACCGCGGGAAGATCATTGTCGTGGTATCAGCGACGGAAACAAGACCATCAGTTTCCAGCGAGTATTTGGAGAGAAAGAAGGTCAATGGTGAGATTAGTCTCCTCGATGTTACCTCCTCAGTGCATTCTTTCCAAGATGAAAACGGCGATGACGACGACAAGGAGAACGAGGAAGAAAAGCGCATTCTCGACGAGTCGAAGTCGTTACCGCGTGGCAACCGCGAGGCGGACGAGATTTTTCCGCAGCAACAGCAGCGGCAGCAGGTGAATCGATCGCCCAGACGCAAAAGCGCCGGCATCCCGACGTTGTTATGCATCGATGGCGGCGGGCTTACGGATGCGACGGCGGTTGGAGTTAAGCGCAAGATCCCGAGGCCAGCGAACGCCTTTATGCTCTTTGCCAATGAATGGCGACGAAAACTCGCCGCCGAGAATCCTCGAGAATCCAACAAGGATATCAGTGTCAGGCTAGTCCTTTTTTTTATAGAAAGATATTTCTGTCCAGTCAACGATAAAGAATTTCTCAATTTTAAATCAATTTTAAATTTTGTAAAGCTCTTCCGTAATTTATTATACTATTTTTTTGCAATATATATATTTTTAAAGGATGAAATTTGTGTGTAAAATTGTCTAAAGATGTTGAGATTATATTTCGAAAATAAAATGCTTAGATTGTCTAAAGATGTTGAGATTATATTTTGAAGATAAAACGCTTTGTTTTTTCCTATACTTTTAGATTAGGCATCTTTTGGAAAAATATGTCGAAGGACGTGAAGGAAAAGTATTTCGCACTGGCGCGCGAGGTGGACAGGGAGCATAAGAGGAAGTATCCTGGTACGTCCTACGCCAATATCTTTCCTTAATCTAATCCCGTTTACGCGTATCTGACGGATCACGTCGAAATTTCCTGATTTATCTGAACGCGCATAACGCGCTCTCCGCAGGTACGTATACAGATTCTCGCATCCTCGCGAAAACGGAATCCAATGCGAAGAATAACGCGGATGATCCGCGGAGAAAAATATGTCGATAAAAACAGCCGGAATTTATTGTAGACTCTCGCGAGTCGACAGATCGTTCGAATTAAAAAATCCCATTATTTTTACACCGCGTACGCGATGTGCCAAAGTATGGCCATGCTCTAAAAATAGTCGAGCTGGATTAGATAATATCGATTGCTGGCGATAAGTCGGTTCGCGTTATCAGCCGACGAAAAGCGAGAAGCCAGGTCGCGGCCGGCACTGACAATTCAACCCCGGTGATCTTCCTTGATTCACAAACTTGGTCCCATCAATATTACCTACAACGTCATTCATACTCTCTTTCTCTGAGAAAAAGAATATTATACATTTATATAAAAATATATATTTTTTTCCGACATTGCAATTAAAATGTCAGATTTTTGTTAAAATTTATATTAATGGAAGTGAGGGAGAAGGAGAAAAAAAAATCAAGGGGTGGGTACCGCGAACGCGATTCTAGGTCGCCGAGGACGGCGACGACGAGCGTGAACGATTCTCGCGGGGCGGCAAGAAGGGTGGACGCGGGGTGGATGCGAGTTTTGCGGGTCGAGGTACAGGGTGGCGAGCGGAGAGAAATATTCTCGGGTGAGTGACGCGGGGAGAACGCGCGGGTGGGAACGGCGGAGAGAGAGTACCGGAGGTATTGATTGCGACACGACTCTAGGAACCTGCCCGATACATGACCACACCGGCTTTCTCTCTATACTTCTACCTACCTACCTACCTATCTGACTATCTACACCCACCGACGATGAAGCGAATAAACGTGCGAGCGAACGAGCGAGCGCGCGATTATACTTCGCGTATCCGGTCGCGGCCGGCACTGACAATTCAACCCCGGTGATCTTCCTTGATTCACAAACTTGGTCCCATCAATATTACCTACAACGTCATTCATACTCTCTTTCTCTGAGAAAAAGAATATTATACATTTATATAAAAATATATATTTTTTTCCGACATTGCAATTAAAATGTCAGATTTTTGTTAAAATTTATATTAATGGAAGTGAGGGAGAAGGAGAAAAAAAAATCAAGGGGTGGGTACCGCGAACGCGATTCTAGGTCGCCGAGGACGGCGACGACGAGCGTGAACGATTCTCGCGGGGCGGCAAGAAGGGTGGACGCGGGGTGGATGCGAGTTTTGCGGGTCGAGGTACAGGGTGGCGAGCGGAGAGAAATATTCTCGGGTGAGTGACGCGGGGAGAACGCGCGGGTGGGAACGGCGGAGAGAGAGTACCGGAGGTATTGATTGCGACACGACTCTAGGAACCTGCCCGATACATGACCACACCGGCTTTCTCTCTATACTTCTACCTACCTACCTACCTATCTGACTATCTACACCCACCGACGATGAAGCGAATAAACGTGCGAGCGAACGAGCGAGCGCGCGATTATGCTTCGCGTATCCGACATTGCTGTTGAGCGTTCGCGAGAGTAACGTCGCCGAGCGATGCCGTCTAACCTTTGACTTTCGGTCGATTTCACATGCCCTTGCGACAATATTTGCATTTTTCAATATCTGCAAAAATTGCAATAATAATAAATTTCTCGTCCCCTGATGCGGTATTTCCTAAATTAAAGTAATATCCACCAGATTTCGGTTTTTTTTCCTTAATTTTGTGCGAGAGAAAAATAGAAGACTGTAAACACAAAGGTTCAGCCGACGGCGGAGTGTCGCGGCGTATGCACCGGGCTGATCGCCGGTCATCGATCCACACCGACGTGGACGCCGATGCGAGAGAAAGAGAGAGATGGGGGGAGGGGGGAGAAGGGTGTCGGGCGCGCGAAGAGAGGGAGGCTCACCGATGCGTTCTCTCGGATCGTTCTCGATGCGCTCGTGGATCAGCGGAACGATGATAATGGGAGAATATTTAATCGGCGCCGCGCGGCGACGCGATTAATCTCGGTCGTACGAAACGCGACGAAACGCGCCGTCGCGCCTGCCGACGTGCGTAATTGCTTGCGCGGACAAGGCAGAGATAGAGAGAGGGAGGGAGAGAGGAAAAATATCATGATCGCTCGTCAGATTAATAGAATATCGTCGTGCATAGGCAAGCGCGAGATAATTAGGGAAAGTAATTAGGGTATTGGGAAATCGTGCGGAATGGGTCGTGAATAGTTGCCCGACGATGCGACATATATATCGAACGTCCGGAACGCATATTCGCCGAAGCGGATTGCTCGACTAATGCGATATAGACGCGAGCCGCTTCAGCCGAGGCGGCCGAGTTAATCCTCTTCGATCGCTCGACCGTCCTCCGGAACGATCCTCCGCAACTCTGGTCGAAGGCGACGGTTCCCCTCAAATCCGACAACCGGCGAGCGAATGCGGGAGTGAGAGAGACGAATTATCGACTCGCGCGAGGCGAACGCCGTACGCCGTTTGCGGAACTGCGTCGATGCGAGAGCATTGCACGAGGGGCTCCGGCTTGAAGCCGTTGAAGAAGGCAACGACGGTGGAAGAGAAGAGGAGAATCCTACCGGCACCCCCTCGTCCCTTTTCATCCACCACCCTCTTCTATCAGTGGCGGATTTAGAGTCTGGGAAACCCTGAGCGAAACAATATTATAACCGTCCCATATTACATAAAATCATTTTTTTTAATTACATAATTATTCTAAAATTACTCAAAATATTACGTCACATTTACAGACTATTATTCATCATTTACGAGATATATTCACAAAAGATATATATAATTATAATTTTCAAGAGACAGATAACCATATAAATGCACACGTGGAATAAAATTTGAAATCCTTTAGTAGTCGAGGTCCTATAAGCGGCCGTTTATCGATAAATCCGCCACTGTTTCCTCCACCTGCGGCCCTCTCCCCTTTCCTACCCTGTCCCGCGACACCCCTCGCGACGCCCGCGAGAGGGTGGGGTGGGCGCCCTCGACGCTCGTGCATCCCCTTTCGCACCACTCCGGCTCGTCGATGACGAAACGCACGTAAATTCGTCGCGGCGCCGCCGCCGCCACCACCGTCACCGGCCGCTGCCGCCGGGTGAAATCAGTGCGACCGAAGTGCACCGCGAGGGAAGAACGCGCGGGGTCTCCCGTGTGCGGCCCGCCGTTCCCGCTTGCGGCACGCGCGCGCGCGCGTCCGCCCGCCTGTCCGTTTTCCTCTCTCCGCGCGAGTGATAGCGGCACGACGTGACACAGACGGTGGGATGACAGACGAGTAAATAAATGGGTCGCTGTGCGCGCCCAAAACCGAGAGGGTCGCACAATTATGCGAAACGATCGTGCGAAACGCACCGAAGGGGGACTCGAGACTCGCGATCTTTCATTTATCGTAGTAAATAGACGCAAACGTGCGGAATCGTTGTGATAATAGCGTAGATAGATATTTATCGGGAGGGATAAAGAGAAACGATATATAATTAGTAAAGGAGAGAAGCGTACTTGATAACTCGAAGATTGATTAGGATCCTTTGTAAAAGAGGAATTTAGAGAAAAAGATATCGCGCAGAAGTTAAACGGAAAAACCGTCTCGAACCGACTGATCGATGTGCGTCGCGTGGACTAGGTCAAGTGACTAATTAACAGCGAGAGCAAATTAGAGCGGGCGTAAACGTAAAGACAAAGGCTCCCCGACAATTTTTACGTCCGATCTCGTCGCCGAGAGAATCGTCCAAAAAAAAAAAATTTATCGATCAAAATTTGTTGCAAAAAAAAAAAAAAAAAAAAAAAAAAAAAAAAAAACCGTTGAAAGAAAACTGCTCGCGGATTTAAGGGGGAGGAAAAAAAATAAATGGGTCGCTGTGCGCGCCCAAAACCGAGAGGGTCGCACAATTATGCGAAACGATCGTGCGAAACGCACCGAAGGGGGACTCGAGACTCGCGATCTTTCATTTATCGTAGTAAATAGACGCAAACGTGCGGAATCGTTGTGATAATAGCGTAGATAGATATTTATCGGGAGGGATAAAGAGAAACGATATATAATTAATAAAGGAGAGAAGCGTACTTGATAACTCGAAGATTGATTAGGATCCTTTGTAAAAGAGGAATTTAGAGAAAAAGATATCGCGCAGAAGTTAAACGGAAAAACCGTCTCGAACCGACTGATCGATGTGCGTCGCGTGGACTAGGTCAAGTGACTAATTAACAGCGAGAGCAAATTAGAGCGGGCGTAAACGTAAAGACAAAGGCTCCCCGACAATTTTTACGTCCGATCTCGTCGCCGAGAGAATCGTCCAAAAAAAAAAAATTTATCGATCAAAATTTGTTGCAAAAAAAAAAAAAAAAGAAAAGAAAAAAAAGAGAACCGTTGAAACGAAAAAGAACCGAATTCGTCTCGCGAGAAAACCGTGTCAACGACGTGAAAGAAGGCCGTACTTGCTTGTCGGTGTAAAAGTGCGCAAGACGTGCAGCAGGTGCAACGGGAGCGCAGCTTCTGTCATCGATCTCGCCGCGGCTGCAGCGAGCATGGCGCGGCCCACCGGACACGCCGGATCGCGTCCGCGTGCGAACGCGCGACGATTTGACGTCGCGCGCGCGGCGATCGACGGCGACCGGAGAATGACAGTTGGCGCAATCGCCGATCGCGACGCTCATTGATCTTCGGCGAGTCGATCATCCCCCCTCCCCCCGATGACGGCAATAACGACGACGATGACGACGACGTCGAGGAGGAGGAGAAGGTCGGCGTCGACGGCGACGGGCGACGGAACCGCGAACGCTGAATCTTCCCGACGGAATGCGGGAGGTCGATCGAACGATGCCTCCCGACGCATCCTCCGACAGTTGCACGGCCCACCCACGTAAGCGTCCGGCGACCTCGCAGTGAGGGCGAAGAAGAGCGCGAGGGGTCCTCTCGAGACTCCGCGCTCGACACTCTGGAACATAGAGGCGAGAGGAACGCCGGTGCGTGTCGTCGTCCGCCCGCGCGCGGGTGGTGTTTACATTCGCGCGAGACCCGCGAAATATCGAGATATCGAACGGGCCTCCTCTCGCGGAGGGAGCTCTTGTTTCTTTCCCGCGCGTTCGGTGTGTTTGGACTCTCGAGAGAGAGAAGTGAACCTGAGAATTGGTGAAGAGAACGCGAGACGAAGATTCCAGCATCATTCGGTTACACCGAGTGTTTTTACATCTGTGTTTACATATCTGTAAGATGCGCATTCGTGAAATCGCGAAGATGCAATTCGACGAGGATTCGCGCAATACTTGTGCGCTTTAGCCAGACTTTAGATACTGAAATATAGAAAGGAAATATACATATGTGCGAATTAATATCGAGATTGATTGAGATTTTAAGCAGTCGCGAAATCCGACTGACTTTGATGACTCGCGTGCTATCATGAAAAATACTAATAGCAATTTTCGGGAACATCGAGGGAAAATATTACGGAGACGCGTTATCGCATTCATTGAATGAAGCATCAAAGTTTGGTTTGTGTTTATGTCACGATATATTGTAGCCGAGATTGATCTAGATTGAGATCTCTCACGATGTCTACGCGCAACGAGAGAAACGTAGCCTAAGCGTGTCGCTGGCAGACGAGATCTAGATCGATACGCGAGGAATCAAAATCGCGCAGAGATGGACTGCTGCAATTACATCGAGGCTTACGCGGCAGGTGGTCACTTTTACCAGCAGCAACAGCAACAGCAGCAGTACTTTTGTTACGATAATGGTAGCGCGATGTACGCTGGGTACGAAGCCGCGCCGATTTCTAATGCGATCGACATTAACGCTCGATACAACGGGACGATACCCTCTACGTATCCGACAGGTAGATTACCGCAAACAAAATGCAAAATGTCGCAATGTAAACCGATCATTTATCACCATTAATCTTTCTTTAAATATTACATACATGTAATATATATAAGGAATAGATAATTATATTTTCTACTTAATTCTTTAATGATTTAATGAATTTAATTTAAAAAATGGGGGCATTTAAATATACAGAAAGTTATCTATAAATATATGTTAAACAAAAAATATAATATTGAAAAATATTTGATTTTGAATGAAAATTAATTGAATTAATAAATGTTGAGGAAATTCAAAACTTTCTTGACTTCCTTATAAAAAAAAATATCTTAGAAAACTAAAAGACAACTATTTCAATACGATATGTTATGCATACATGATAAGATTTCAATATACACGTATCATAAAACTCGTCTTAAGGATCTTAAAAATTTTTCTCTTTCGATATCTTCTGTAAGTTTATCAAGGAGCTATTCTCTCTTTTCTGTATCATATATTGTAAATATTGAAAGACGCACTTCAAGAGACTTGTAGCATGACGTCTTCGTGTTAATAACGATCTCACGTACGTTTCCGTAGATTACGTGTACAACCCGAAGGAGGCGAGGTTGCGAAAGGCGATGCGCGAGCAGACTCGCGAGCTGTCGCGACGATCAATCCTGCAGAACGCGATCGCGAACGCGAACGGACGCACGATCGGCGGCGGCTCGTCCGCGTCGATCTCCGGCGACTTCCTGAACCAACATCACCGTTTCGATTGCGCGTCCGTGCCCATGGGTCCGAACGTGAGTCCTCATCAAGAGTCCTGGTACCAGGCCGCGCATCGTGGCCTGAAACCGGCGCATTCGCCGCGAATCGGCGACTGGTACGGGAACGTGTGCGGCGACCCGATCGAGAGGCTGCAAGCGATGGGGGTGATGCATCAGCAGCAGCGAGATCTCGACAAGCCCATCAAGGACCAGAGGAGCCAGGCGTTCAACCCCAACGGCTACTCGCCGGACATCGCGGCTGCGGAGAGGGAGATTCGCCGGCAAGAATCCGCTGCGGAATACGCCGATTATGTCGACGGCCAGAAATGGCATCCTTATCAAGTAATATCGCGGAGCGCTTTCAACGGCGCTTGATATTTTAACTCGTTAATATTTTGTTCGTTAATTTCACGGATAAAAATTCTACCAATCGACTATTCTTTCTTGAAAGCTTTCGCTTCTTTTTGTTTTAATGCGATCTGGTTATTCATAAATAAAGTCGGCGCGCTTTTCAATTCTGTCGAGCACGTTCCTGTATAGTTCATGTAGCGAGATATGAATAGGCAGTTTTCTCGCTAGATTGTCACGTTTACGAAAATCGCCTGACATGTCTGGTTGCAGAATAGCGCGAGCCCTCATTCACATCCGAGGACGCCGCATCCGTCACCGCAAATGGGCGGCATTCTTCACCCGAACGTACAGAATACAAACGCGCATGGACACACACACGGTCCATGGGGCCAATTTTGTCACGGCGTGCTACCACGTAAGTTTTACATACGGCGATTTATTTTTTCGTGCTGCGATTTTAAAACGCGCGTAATTTTATCATTTAATTTATAGCTCTAATCACACGTGTGTTTATGTACAAAATAATTGTATTAAAATATAAGATGTTTTATATATGCGATTTTTTTTTTTTTTTTTTTTTTTTTTTTTTTTTTTTTTTTTCGCGGCGATTCGAGGTCCGCGACACGCAGTTTTCTTACGGGATCGTACTCCAACTAGGCACTGCGCATTTTCGGAAGATGCGTCGCAGATGGGTTACGCTCCGAGAAAATTAAACATGGATAGCATCCGCGCGTCTTATCCGTTACCGGAGCATCAGGTATATAATATAAAAATGACTATTGCATTATTCCTTAGTAAACTGCTAAACAAAATAGTTTTATATACGACGAATAGAGATCATAAATTATAATTATCGAGAATAGTAGAAAATCATATCTTTATGTCGATGAGACTTTATGTCAATTCGACACATTTTTTCGATAATCAATATAATTATCTATACAGATACCAAGATTATTGGAATCAGCGGTGGATTCCGTCATAGACTCGACGACGACTATGAATCGACGCGAGGAAGACGACGGGACCAGATGGGAGCCAAACACCGTCACCGCCGGAGTGTCTCTCGACGAACTCGTGCCAACCTCTACGGTAGAACACCTTCAATATTGCATTCTCATACGAACATCTATTCCATCCACACATATTATTATAATTTATTGTACGCCAAGCGCTTTAAAAATACGCCAATTTTAGCCGCAGGAAGGTACAGTTTCTCGCGAGAAGGAGCAGCGCGACTCCCGGCACTCGAGCGAGCGATTTGAACCGAAGAGGAAGCCCGTTTCGAAGCAACCGCTTCCGGGTTTCCATCAAGCCTTCGGCTCCACGGAAATCGGCAGATTCTCCCGATCGGAGTTCTTCGTGAACATGGTGGGCGAGACGGGCGGCGGTGGCGGAGGAGACACCGGTGACGACGGCGGCGACGATGGCGACGTAAGTAAGGAGCGTCCGCAGCTGGAGACGACGGGGAGCGCAGCGGCCGCGACGGCCGCGACCGCAGCTACGGCCGCGACGGCAGCCGCAGCGACGGCCGCTGCGGCCGTCGCGGCCACCACGTCCGGAAAGATCTTCGACGTCGAAGATAACCAGGCGACGTACGCCGTCGGCGCGCCGTCGTCGTCGATCGGCGGCCCGTATTGCGGACAGCCGACGGCGCCGCGCTGGCACAGTCCACACGTAGGTGGTATAGGTAGCGAAATTTAAGCGGGTTCAGTCGCGGTATCGCGTACCGTCTTCACGATATTTGTCGATGTTCCTTCGTTGTTAAAGGGCATCGAGAGGTACCGCAGATTTTCGGAGCAAATCGATAGAATTTTGTTTTTCTTCGAAATAATTGAAAGAATTATTGTCGTTTGTAATCGGCGTTCCCGAGTAATTGAGGTATTAACAAGTATCGTTGACACGGTACAGGATATCGTTACAGATATACTCCAGTAGGACGTTGTCCTTGTCTTTTCTTAGGCTAAAGCGATTCCCGTAGCTTTTCGACGCGTGACAGATTGCGATGGGGTTGAATGGCGATATTGCATTTCCAATAGGAATAAGTTACGAGTGTAACACTAGTAGTTTTGATGTGTAGCAAACTTCGATAACAGAGAAATGTCCATACTTTGTGTTACATATGCCAATTAAGGAGAGTTATCCAGAAATTGCGACCGCTATAATTTCAGCATGCATTTAAATTTTTACACCAAAAACACGCAAAAGTGATTTCTACTTTTATTCTTGGCGATAAAATTTCCGGTAATTAATATAAGAAACCATCTTTTGGTATATTTCTAAGAGTAGAAATTTTAAGCTGTTAATCGTATCGGTTACAACGAAGAGAGTAAGTTATTTAGTAGATTCTTTAGGTGAGTACGTATTGCCGCGCGGAGAAACGATCAAATAAAAGTGAAACACGCCTGCGAGCGTTGGAAGTCGGGAAGTCGACAGGTAAACGTTCTTCCGCTTCTGGAAAATAATTGCGAAGGGATAATGCACGTAGTTTGTATTAAGAATCTGCGTCAGGACGTCTTTCACATCTCTTTCGGTCGATCTGCTTTGAAATTAATTAATATTTATCACAATTAATTAAACATTTAAATATTATAGTATATATATGTATATACTATAATATTGCTTGTTAAATTTAAAAAATTAATCGATGGGATTAGCAATTAAGAGATATCTTAATCTTATTCTTAGTCTTATTACATTTAAACGTGATTTTTTTTTTTCGAATACTTTGTTTTGATTCTAATAAAGACCAATGATTCTAATAAAGTTTATTGACGTTTTGCCGGCAGATTATTAATACGCGCTAATATCTGTAACTTGCGTCTAGTCTACTGACCAGTTAATTGGGGATAAATTCGTGCCGAATACCCTGTACCTATGATGGGACCAAATTACGAGAAACTTTTATGTCGCGTTCACCGTCGCGCTTACGTCCTACGATGTATGGTCGCGTAAAAGAAATTTCCCTCATTCTGTTCGCGTGATCGCTCGCGAGTGAAAAAAAAAACGCAAAACTCTCCGCTTCGAGAAATGTGGAATATATTCTGCAGAATAAAATGTGACACACATATGAAAGTATATTAATATAATTGAAAATATATTCCACTTCTTGCAACGGAGAATAAACATAATCACGCCTTACAAAACATATTTAGACAATTGTCCAGTCAAAGCGTGCATGAATATCATAACGAAAAAAAAAAAAAAAAAAAATGACGTTATATCCGTAGGACGGAGAGATTGAAGTAATCTGAACTAGATATTGATAGTATTTGACGTCGTAAAGAAATCGTCTTCTTGGCGTCGATGTACTGTGCATATTGAAAGATGCAAGTAACCTTTACAAATAAGGGGTGCTGTTTAATTAATCAGAAGAACGTAAATGTACACTGTGTGATGCGCAATATCATAAGCAACGGTAGCTAAAAAGAGATAAAACAAACCGACCTATAACAGACCTACAACGTTTTATGCGAAATAGGTACCACAAATGTCAAGTTTTTCTGATGCTGAAAATATTAACGAGAATATATTAATGCGCATGCTCTTTCAAAATAAAATTTAAAAAATACAAAGTTGAATTGGCATTTGCGGTTCTAATCGTCCTGTGATACGAGATGAACATAAAGATTCATCTCATCGCAAAATGTATGCTTTACTCTCATTCGATTCCGGACGATCGCGAGCAGTATGAAAAGAATAAACGGATGTCTATGCGACAGTAAAGAAGATAAAATGAAACAGTCTTATTCTCACTAGTCTTATTTTTCCCAGTTGATTCCAGAAGCCTACCTGACGACTCCCTTGCTGTTTCCCTTTCCATCGACATCCCACAATATTCTAGGAACCGATGCCCTTCACGGAATCACAGAAAATGGACAACTAGTATCGCGTATTTTGCCCAACGAGTGTTGCTGGCTTGCACAAAGTGGCCATGCCGTAACTAAAATACCTGACAGTCTAGTGGTAAGAACATTGATCTCGATATTATTTCAAAAAAAAAAATTGAAATTACAATTAATTATATTTTTAATTCTGATATTTATTTGAATATTGTGATAATTTTGAAAAGTTTAATTGATCCGGCGATGAATTATACAGACCTATGCAGCTTTATTGGATTATTCTAATGATTCGAACGAAAGAAAATGGATCCAACAGAAGGCGACAATCGCACATCCGATGGAATTTCCAATATTGCTCGGTAATCAAAGTATGGATTGCGAAAGAATTATCAGCGATCATGCCCGACGAAATTATGTCATCGTCGACGGAGATGAAACTAGGGATCGCAACATTCGGCGAGAACAAGGAAGCGAGGCCGTTAATCTGAAGATTGATCGAGATCAGAATTCACTCGTTGGCTCGAGCTTGCATGAATCTAAGAAGACTGAGAAAAAGAATTGAAATGTATTAGTTATATTTTCGTCGCTATAGTTAATCGCAGCGACTTTTTTTAAATATTTAAGAATTTTATTTACCAAGTAATTGATTAGTTGACACACAATGATTTATGCAAATATAATCTCTAGAAATTCTCTCTCATTCTTGTTTTTAAATTGCCCTCTTATTTTTCGTACGAGTTTACAGTATCTTAAATAAATTAATTCGCGATAACACATAATAAATAATTTTAATTGTCACAAATTTTTAAAAATTCCGTGCATTACATCTTATCATTGATTTTTAAATATATTATAAATATTATAAATTGACCGATGATTTTTTAACTGACAAAACTCAAGGAAAACATCATAAATTGAGATCTTTGTAAAAGATGATGATATCTCCTTGCCGATAAACGCCGCCGTTCTTGACGTTCGAGGTGCACAACTTCCGCTTAGAATGTTCGCTGAGTAGTACAGTCTGTAAATAGACGAATACAAAAGGAAAGGCGAGTTCGGCACGGTTTATCAAAGCGATCGTAACCACGGCGGCGTCTCTCAAACGCGATAAACGAGTTGTCGATGAGAAAAAGAGACCTTCCGACTTGTATCCAGAGACTACCTAGCGGCAGGTAGCAATAATCAAAAATACCTGTATCGTAAACTACGCCTCTGCAGTGTTGCAGGCTGCGTATATAGAAGTTGTCTAAGGTAAAAATTTTTATGACAGCCACCGTGCAGCGGATTGGACGGAGATGTGAATCTACTCTTGAGGAAATATCTCAATTTTCAAATCATATGGCAATCGCAAAGAATTGAGACGGGATGCACATTCTAATTGCAATATATTATATTAGAGATTAAAAAAAAAGTCTTTGATAAAACAAAAACAGTATAATTTTAAATATAAAGAAAAATTAGATTTTGAACAAAGATAGAACATTAAATATATTTATACAAATTGCAAGTAAAAAAATTATGATAATTAAATATAAATGAAAAGAAATATAACATCTCACGCAAAAAATTAGCTTTTAGCTTCATAAATATGGAAAAATTCATTACTCGTCCTTGTTTCTAATATAATAAAACTTGCATTCAATGACGTTATTAAATGAAGATTATATAACCTACAGTTCTTTTTTTGTAACTACCACAGTTATCAGATGCTTTCCATAAGGATACACCCGACACTTTCATTTTCGACTGCACACTTTCAAAAAGATCTCGCCCGGTTGATGTCATCGTGCACTTTATGGCCCAAGGACCGACGTTTTTTCTTTTTTTGCAAATAATGACGGATCCAATCGCGCTGAAAATTGTAATTACCTTTGGCAACCTCGGACCACCTTCGTTCAATAAAGATGGCTCAACTCGGCCTCCGGCGATGTCGCAGCAACAGGACGATCGCGACTCCGTGCTTTCCGCACGAAATTGTTAGCACAAATAACCAATAGGGTTATGGCCGTCTCGCGTCCGTCGATTGCTGTCCGAAACCGTGTGCACGATGGCAAACAAGAAACGGTCCTGCTCAAATATCTACTCGCGATGCGTCGTGCAGCCGGTTGAACGGCGCTCTGTTGATTTTTGTCATTTGACTCCAGACAACCAACACGATTCTATCTTTCCGACCGTTCCTCCCGTGATAGACGAGGAGAGTTTCATTTTCATAATCGACAAATATCAAAATTACCGATTCCTTAGAACGATCTCTTCTTTGAGTTAAAGCCGAGAAACGATGCACATTCTAAATAATTACCGAGATTTTTTAAAATATTTAAAATTTCTGATATTTTGCTATATCTAAATTGCAAGAAAGAGTTGTAGAAAAAAATTGGGTGTAATTAGATATAAAATACAATAATGAAATCTCTATTTTTCTAAGCAAATGTTGGAGAATCAAAGTTTTCATTTATTGCAAAATAAAAAAAAAATGTACTTTTGATTGTGCTTTATTTTTTGGTTGAATAATCCAGATCAAACATAAATATTTAGATAGAAATTGCAGATTAACACCACTCTAAAAGAGAAAATCGATTTCTCGAGTTTTTGGCGGCTACACCGAGATCCGTTATACCTCGGCAACAAGATCAGCACTTATCTCACGAGGAACAAATACATGTCGCATACTTTCCTGAGCGCAACAGACGCAAATATTAACTCGAGAAGGTGACATGTCGCCGCGACTCGATCCGGTATCGCGGCCGCGCGTCTTCGGGATCCGCGCGAGGAGGAGCACTTCCTCGCGACCTTGACAGACGAGTTCCTCGGCATCGGTCGCGGACGTTCATTTTCGATCAAGAGCAAATCCGATCCGATCCGATCGATCGCATCAAAAGCGTCGATCAAAGTGGCAATCGCGGCGCGATTCTGGTCCTGGGAACCATCACGTGCGGATCCGCGTACGTCGTCCGCGAGGACTAATCGAGAAAACCTGCCGACCAGCACGTGGGCGGACTGGCGAACGTCTCGTTCACCATCGGACTCACCAACCGTGGCGGATTCGTCGAATCGACTCGTTCAACCATTGGTCAAAGAAAGCCGCCGAAGGCGGCACTCTCCCTCACAACGACCGGACGACCGGTCGAACTGTCTTCGACCAATGGACACCGACATGGTAACCGCCATGCTGCACCCGTGAGCTTCTAATTTAGCGAGTAATTAGCACCCGGCAAACGCGAACGCGACTCGGTCCGGTGCCTACTCTCAGCGACTGTCGAGAAACGGAGAAAGAAAGGACGCGAAGTGAGGACAGAGAGGCAGATATACTGCCGGTCAGTCCTCGGCGAGTCTTCGCCGGCTAGTGTGAAATATCGCGCCCAAGTGTTACGAGCCTACGGTCACGCGGCGCGACTTCTCGCGGATACGGCTATCCTCGGCCGTTGACGGAAACGTCTGAGGTGCCGCGACGAACGACGATTTTCCGTCCCCTTTCGCCAACTCTCCCCCCTTGCTCCCCCCCGTGAGATCGCGTCCGTTTTTCTCGCGGGACATCGCGAATCGATCGCGACATCGACGAGAAAAATAATCCAGATTCTCATCCTCATTGCCGTCTTTTTATTTAGAAAACACATTATATCGTGATTCTCGTTTATTCCTCGAGTACATATTGTCGTTCAGAATCGAATCGTTTCGAATCGAATTTTCTAAATTTGAACGGAAGAGAGCGGAAGACGCGAGGCGCGAGACGTATCCGAGAACGCTGAAGATGCAATCGGCAAGCGCTCCACGAACACCTGGTTCCCCGACGCGTTCCTCGTGTCACGAGCGCGATCGGGAGCGTGAGAGGGAACGCGAGCAGGAGCGAAATCGCGAGCGGGAACGCGGCGGAAGACAGAGCCGGACGAGTCCTGAGGAGAATCGAGAGGATCGCGAAGAGCGGGGTGCGATCGCGAGGCAGGGTCTCGGGCCTCCTGCCGCGATCACGGGGAATCAAGGATTGCCGCTGTCCTTGTCGTTGGAGGATCGGGAGCTCTGGACCAGATTCCAGTGCATCACGAACGAGATGATCGTCACGAAAAACGGAAGGTACACATATAAACACGCATACATACACACATATGTGTTAATTGGAAGGTTAATAAACATTATTTGAGCTTGAAGGCAAGATTAGTTTTGACACGTATCACTATAATTGTGACTTTTTTATCATGTTCATATGTCGCGATGATATGATTGACGAACGTTTGAGGATTCCAAGAGAGGATCTTAAGATTTTTGTTTATTTTAAGACTCGAATAAAAATCATTAGTTTTTTTATTTATGATGATATCGATATCACACCGAAATATTTATGTTTGCTGGAAACAAAAATAACATTAGCTAGAATGCAAAGTCGGAGATTCGCAATTTGAAATTGAGAGATATAATTTCTCTTTTAATGTTTTCTTAGTTTAGTTAATACTTTACTAGTTTCTCATTTTATCTTTATAATACAAGAAAATACCTTAAACAGAACAAAATAAATTGATTATTTTACTATCAAATGGCTGTCTCTTGTCATTTAATTTTTACTCCGAAAAAGTAATGTTACATCCAAAAAGAAATATGTTAATACTGCGACATTCAACGTTCTTCATTCAATCAGATGGAAATTTTGACAGCAGTACACACATTGCAAAACAACAAACAAAACATAAAATATTGAAACCATGGCTTTAAAATGTTACGTAGTGAATTTTAAACAGTTTGCGTTTCTCCTCTTCCTTTCTCCTACGTTCCTTTCAACATGTGGCACCGAAAAGTCAATAATAATAGTTTTCTTCAAATGATAACAGCAGGTTTTTTTAAATGATAGTGAAAGGAAATTAGAACGTTGATTGCAATTTGTTTGAACTTGTCGTGAAACATTTTCGAAAAAAACGTCCCATATATCTGGATACCCATGTGTCACTCATTGCAAAAAAATAAATAATAGTAGATAATGCATATAGTTAGGATACTGAAATAAATGATAAAGATTCAATCCATGGAAAGAACAGAGTTCTCTGGGATTATTGTGAGAAGATGCGAGCCGTCGGCAATAAAACTTTACGATGCTTACGATCCTCTTGTAAAACGTTCTCTTGTCGAGCTGATGCCTGCGAGCGAGCACTTTACCTGCACATCCGCAGTCGACAAACCGTAATCGCTTTTATTAATACGCGGCTTGTAAATGCGCCGAAGACACACTGTCTGCAAGGCGGTCATCTTTTGATCCGCGCCGTGAATCTCGTCGTCGACATCGGTCTCTCGCGCGTACCTCTGAATCTCCGGGTTCTTTACGATCGGTGTCACATGCAATGATGTTCCTGATATGTCACTTTCGTCCGTAGGAGGATGTTTCCGGTGGTGAAGGTCGTTGCACGTGGCTTGGAACCGGCGGCTATGTACACGCTGCTACTGGAATTCGTTCAAATCGATCCGCACAGGTAACGAAATAATCTGATTATTTATTCGGCAAATGTATCCTCCACTCAGGAAAATAGCAACATCTATATTTAATTTTTGTCGAAAATTAAGGAACTTAGTCTTTTTTTTAAACGTCAAGCATTAAAATTTTTCGTGCAATATATATCTATAGAATGTGCGATTTTGTAAAAAACAGATGTCCCACACACACATAAAAGTTATAGCAACAACGTAAAAAAAATTAAGTAAATACCGTAACAATTGAATAAATATGCATCAAAAAAATTTTGACACATAGCATTATTATAAAATCTCTACACACCCTTTATATAGGATAAATAACTTCAATATTATTGTACACTGTTATTTTACATAAATTTCTCTATCTTCCTTTTTCTCTTTAATTAAAATGGTTAAACAAAGAGAAATATATTTATAAGATGCATACAATATTTTTATTCTAATCTTGTTAAATACGCAAAAGTATTTGTTTCAAATTGTTTTCAAACATATTATGTTTTATACTACGTCTGTTATCAATTTCACAGTTTAGATCTTGAATGATCCGCTATTCGCCCCGATCGAGGTTTAATTAACCATCCTTTAAGTACAAGTAATAGTAAGAGGCTGAAATTGTGCAAATTGTAAAGTTATGCTCAGAGCAGAATAGAAAGCGCATAGCATCGAAATGTTGCGTAGGCAACGGATGAGCGCGTTACCGATTTGCGTTGATTTATCTCGCGAACAGAAGAAAGGGGGAGGGGGCGCGAAGGACACTAACAGGTCGTAATTATCGTACCCTTTTCGTTCAAGCATCACGTAACGTCGCTAAAGTCGATTCTAAACTTGTTAGAGCGTTATTTTTAACTCGTCGGCGATTCGTCATCGGTGTTGAACGAACTGAGGGGCATTCGAGAGCTCATAATAGCTTTCGCAAAACAATCTCAGAAGACGATTGAAAAAAATACAAGAGATATTTTCTGTTGATCGCGAATCTTTTTCGCCAAATCGACTTACGCGATTTTTCCTTTTCTATTTTTTTCACACAAGACAAATATAAGTAAAATCTAATAATCTCATATTTTGAGGGAGAGTACATGCATTCCGTTTTCTGTCACACGTTTATATAAATCACGTAAATAAAAAAAAAAAAAAACTGTTTTAATAAAATTATATAATACCAGGTGGAAGTATGTCAACGGCGAGTGGGTACCAGGAGGAAAAGCCGAAGTGGCCCCGCCTAATCCAATTTACATACATCCGGAGAGCCCGAATTTCGGTGCACATTGGATGAAGGAGGCAGTATCGTTCGCCAAAGTCAAGCTAACAAATAAGTCGAATGGTAATGGACAGATTATGCTGAACTCATTGCACAAGTACGAGCCACGTGTTCATCTGGTCCGAGTGGGTGCTGAGGAACAGAGAACGGTACGTCTTTCTTTTCTCTTTCCTCGTTATTTTTTTTTTCTTTGAATTATATATTTATATCTTTATTTTTAATGTGATTTAGTGTTTAATCATTTTATTTACACGGATGCAAATAATGACGTCATCGTTCGTGTAGGTTCTTACGTATCGTTTCCCTGAAACGCAATTCATCGCAGTGACAGCGTATCAGAACGAGGAAGTAACGAGTCTAAAGATCAAGTACAATCCTTTCGCGAAGGCATTCCTCGATGCTAAAGAGAGGCCCGCCGATTCACAAACTTATCCTCAATGCAAGTTAATCTATTATGTATAATTATATACGTGTACATGAATAAAAACAGAATATCGGGCGAGGAATCGAAATTGAATCAAGCATTTTTAATAAGATAATATTATTTTGCAGATGCGGGTGCATTGTTTTTACCGCAACCCACAATGGGATACGAATACAATACTGCATCGGCAATAGCCGTCGCGCAAAATCAAGTTTCGGCTTGCGTTAGCAATCACTTTTCCAATTCGTGCACGGTCACCACCTCTGGACACAGAAGCACTTGCAGAGCAGCTCCTTATACCTTGAGACACAAATATGTCCAAGATGGTACGTAAAATTATTTCATTGTTTCTTTTAATCGGATAAAATTAATTCTTTTAATCTTAATCTCAATCCTTGAAAAAATCCTTCAATTAATTTTCAAAAATCTCTATCTATATAACCATAAAATTACATGAATTATGTCTACTTTTCAAATATTAATTTTTAAAATCTGTTAAAACCAAAAGCACACATATACTAATATATATATATAATATTATAAAAAGATATGTAATATATATTTTTTCAAAAGAAATTTTTCAGAAAAACTCTCAATTATTACTTATGTACAGAACAACACGCGGACTCATACACGCCGATGCCTCTTTTGCATTCCACGGCTTACGTGACAGCACCGGCTTGGTCGCCTCGCAGCCCGGAACCATTGCAGAACCTCAATTCTTCGTGCTTACCATCAGCCGCGTCGCAAGAATGGTCAACATCCCCATCGCCGTCGCCGACGTCGTCGGCGCACACAGTCCTCGGCAGACCCGTGGTCGGTACCGCATCCACCACGACCGTGACCGGATGCACCCTGTACGTACCGTCCCAGGAACAACACGGCGGGCACTGTACCGACTCCTGGATTCATCCCACCGCGTTGGAACAGCAGCAGCCACAGCATCAGCAGCAACAGCAATCCTATCTAAACTTAAATCTCCACCTGCATCATCAGATGTCCCCGTACGGTTCCGTTTCGCACCCGGGACTGCATCATGGTCTGCACCCGCAGAGCGGAGAACCCGTCGCTCCATCGGACGCGAGCGAATACGTCCATGAGTACCATCATGCCTCGCCGGTGCAATCGACCACTCCTGATCAACACCGTCATCATCCTCATCATCATCAGCACCCGCAGCATCATTCCCAAGCGCAAATGTTGCACTTGCAGGCTCTACCGCAGGGGGAAACCTCTTCCCCGGTCAGTGTGGAGTACGATAGCCCACCTAAGGAGCAGTCTCATATTCCGATGGGTTACCCCGAGCAAACTGCGGATGCTTTGAACGAGGTGCAACCGGACGATGAAAGAAGATATCTAACAGCGGTCGTCGACCGTCACCCTCCTCATCATCTTCATCATCACAATCATCATCGACAAGACACGGAGATTGCCGGCGAGCAGCCGAACGCTTGGACGCCGTTGACGCCACCACCGGCGCCGCAAACTACCGCTATTTGATTCGAAAATTCTGGGAAATCTTGCATTATGCAAAAACGCATATTCGAGTTTACGCGTGACCGCGCGTAAGATTGTCGACGCGGGAATTGTCACAGAGATGCATTCTTGTTGGCGTGACGTGTGATTGTTGATCGAAGTTAAGTGTATTAAGCGCGGTAGTTAATCAAGAAAATTTTATCGCGCCCAATATTGATATTAAAATATCAATTTATATCAATCCGTCCTAAATAATGTAGTATTTCGATTATTTTTAATTAATTGCGAAAAATATTGTTAGTAATACTATGTCAAGTATATCAAAAAAAAAAAAATAAAATACATATCAAATATTTGTTTTTTTTTCCTGAAACATTTATTTATTCAAAACATAAAAAAGAATTTAATATTGCAAACATAATACACATTTGATCTGTATCCAATTATATCTGTTCAATATGACAAAATTCTGTATAGTGTCTCATAAAAATAAACAATTATCTTCAAATTTCTTCAATAACTAAAGAGAATTGCGATAAAACAGGTCATCCTGTTGTGGGATATCAACGTTTCTTTCTTATTAACAGCAGGTAAGGCTCTCACAATATTATAGATATCACCATATGGGATAAAAAATATACTTTTAAAGCTCCTAAATTTCCGACAGGAAGTAACATTGAACGCGTATGTTATCGTTACACGATAAGAAAATTTCACCTCAAAATTATCAAAAAAAAAAATTACATTCTACATATAAAATATGCATAATAATTTTAAAGTGGGTGGTTTTTGCTCTTGTACAAATTATTCATTGGATATAAGAAAAATATCTTTGACAAAACGATATCATGGACGTTTGTGATTGTTAATATGTGTACACTCCACAATCAAATTTTTTTAAAAATTATATGTTAATTACATAAGTGGATATAAAGATTTACATATAAGTAAAAAATCATTGTGGTAAATTAAAAATAACGATATTTAGTAAAATCAATAGAAAAAATATATAATTTATATTATTTTTTTACATGCGTGTATATGTATGTCGTTATATGTTTATATAATTTATAAAATTTTGTGAGAGAACTTTGATACAACGTATGACAATTTATGTAAATGTTATAAAAAATTATTTCGTTTTACAAGCGATTTTCTATTTTATTTTATGTCATTGATTTATCTCCGCTATTTCTCGAGTATATCTCTTTACTTGAATGAATTTTATCTAACACTTGGACCGTAAATTAACGCGATAATCGCTAAAAAAGTTTGACGCTATAAAAGTTTCGAAAAATTTGATTAATTAATCAGAGCAAAGAAATCTTTGCCTCTTTGGTTTTAATTGTCAATCAAATGGTCCAAAATTTGTAGCATCGAACCTTTAAAAGTTCATCTTCAGTCGTCCGGTAAAATTTAATATTAGCACTTTAACATGCCATATTCAGGGTTTTGTATTTGTTTGAATGCAACTGACACAAGTTATTTTTCACGTATGCTGCTGTGCGTAATATGTCATGACGATTTGTGGAATATATATTCGCTTCTCCCTCTCCCATGCGCTCTTACTTTCTTCTCACTCGCTTTTACTACCTCGTTCTCGCCTTTGACGAGATGCCGGGGGGATTTATAGCACCTTTCTACGAAAGGAAAACAGATTTACTGCTCCAAACACTTGATGTCAACCGTCGCTCTCAAGCAAGGTGTGTAATACTATATTTATAAATCACGTTTTCTTGTGTTTCCCACTTTTGTGATCGAATCGTGCCATTAACAAAGCACGGTTGCTCGATCGTTTAAAACTAGCACGTCGTTATCCAAAGTGTTCGGGTGTCAGATAACGTGGACAAATCTACGTATATGCACGAGGACAAATCCGCGCACGCAGTGTATCGATATACACAATCACGCGCGAAATTGCACAAACGCTTCTCGTTTACTGCAGCACGTTCGCCTCTAACGATCCATAAGCGCGCTGCCCTTTTTACCCAATCGTTTTGCCCAAACCACCCTCTTGCACGAACAAATAACATAAAACGAATAATGAAACGATATGGCTTCTATGGCCCTCTCTCCTTTACCGGAAGCAAAAGTTTACTGGAATGCGGAATATCTCATCCGCAGAAATGCGAAAGTATAATGATAAGGTATGCGAAATGATCTAAACACCTCGTTGAAGTTTGGAACGTTCTTGGAACGAAGTATTAGCAAATTTCAAATTTTCGTTCCAAGAACCCTCCAAACTTGAGCGCAAGGTATTTAAACGTTTTCTACTTTAATTATATTTGCATGACTGCGTTAGAGAATAAGATATTTCAAAATTGTAATCCCTGTTATATTATATATATAATTGTTTAATTAATAATTATTATTTTACAATAAATATACTACATCCAAATAAAATATCTGTCGAATGAAATTTTAAAAACGACCTTCTAGCGCGATTAAAGTGCCACGATCATTTTAAATCACAATTTTAATTATATATTATCGTCATCGATGGCCATATCGCGTGATTACAATTATCGCGTAAAGATATGAGATTAATTGAGCCACATAGTTAAGTACAAGCGGTAAAAACAATTAACCGTGGGGTAGCACGGCTATAGCAACCTCGGTAAACAGTTCTCTATGGTAATCCTATTATCGGCGTCCGGCAAACGTTCACGAGCTTAGCGAGGCTTACCAATCTCTCTCTTCCAGAGAACCTCTCCAAAATGCGTTTCAAGGTCCACTATTGCTATATGGAAGCTAATGTGTGAGATCTGTTTTCCTTCGGAAATATCTGACAATATTATTGTAGTTGTTGAACTCTAGACAACAAATTTATATTGCATCAAAATTCTAAGATAAATGATGATACAATGGAATGAGTAAATAATTGTTACGAGCCATTTGAATAAACTTGTCTCTGTCGGAATGGAAAGAGGTAAGAAAAGAGAAGAGAGCTCGCGAAATACGTGGCAATTAGACTCGCGATACTTGTAACTTGTTTGTTTTGTTCTTAGCCAGGTTCGCAGTTTGTTCCTTAACATTTAAATGCAGACATTGTTGACCGATATTTGATTTTTTTATCGCGCCGTGATGGCGACATTCAAACTAATTAAAATGCTTGCAACAAATAAAAATCATGATGCCTTTAAACTTCTAAAAAATATTAATAATAAAATATATTAAGTGTTTATTTCTTTCATTATCACCACGATAGTTATATAGATTGCACAAAATAACAGAGAAGAATTATATTTAATATCTTATTTATATAATTATATTTAATATCAACTAAATTTTTATTAGAATTCAAAAATTATATATAAATCATTTAAATTATTCATTCAAAAGATCATCGCACTACTAGTTTTATCGCACATGAAATAGAGCATGCGTTTTATATTTTTCGTTTTTCCGGTTACCATTACACGGGAAATTCGATGTTAACGTTTGCAGTTGTGAATCGTTTGACGATTCAACAGCGGCCGCACTAATGTTTTGATGAATGCAATTTTCAAGGGAGAGAGGGATGGAGGAGGAGGAGAGTTTGATGCGCGCATGCACGTACGATGATTGCGAACGTTGTCGGACGGTGCCTCTGCAGGATTACGAATTAATTTGTAACGTTCTCGCGATGGCTGCGGATCTAGCACGCGCGGATTTATTGCGCCGTGATTACTTGCAGAATGCCAAATGTTAACTGGCCGTGAACAGAAATTGGCATCACCGCGCTTTGCGTCCGGCGATCAAATCGAAGATACCGCCCGTCGCTTCCAATAACATATAACATACTTGCATGGCAAATTGCAAACGCAATATCCCGGCACCGTTCGCAGCGTGATTTCGGAAGCGACGTATTCGCCAATGAGACTATGCACGCTATTCCATTATATAGTGTCTCCCGCGGAGGCACGAATGACTTACCTCCGAGTAAATTGCACGTATCGAATTGCAATCTGTTACACAAGAAAGTCGTCTGCACACGCGACCAAAAGATAAATTATTATCTTAAGTAAATATAAAACGGGATTTAAAATACACTTTAATTATTATTATATAATCAGCTAATAAACCATTTAATTTTAAACTGTTATGCCAGTTTAATGGCTTGTTTTTATAAGAGAGTCCAATAATCGGGATTCTAGGAACAGGTAACGTATTTCAGAAAAAATTGCAGATTGGGCTTATCCTAATCCATCCCTTCTGGGATACTTCCGGTAAAGTTTTATTGTTTGAAAAAGCTACTTAGAAATGAAAGGAAGAATATGGTGAGAAATGACTTATTGTTATTCTATTGTACAGTAATAGAGTTTAAAGTGTAGAGTCAAAAGAGGATAGTGTCGGTAAAGATGATGTTTTGTCAGAGAAGAGATTCTGGAAACTTAAGCTTGTATGCGATGGCCGTTTCAATTGCCAGTTAAATGGCAACAGCCTCATTAATTTTCTTGCATGTTGAGAGCAGCTCTGCAGAGACGATGCAGTCTCTAGTATTTCAATCCTTTGTCTACAACGCAATCTCGTGCCAACATCCAACTTCCTTCGTCGTTTCTTGCATTCAGTAAAATTGACGATCAAATAAGAAGCTACTTTCTCTCAAGATGTATACATATATATATATATGCAGCTAAGAGGTTAAAAGCAGATTCCAAAACGAAAAAATTACAATGGGTAATTACAACTGATTATGGATATAACTATATAAATAAATTGATTGTAATTTCCTTGAAAAGAATTAAAACAATAAAATAGTTGGCACTGAGCATTTTTAAAAACTTTGTAGTGGTCACATCTTCCATGAAACAAACAATTCAATCTGCGCATCTAATTATAAAGTAGGCGAAATATGTTTATTAGCGAGTACAGACGTGCTAGCAAAAAAGGCGTTGCTTTAATAAATTCAATAATCTATAATACATTCAAAAAACTTTTATTTTTTAACAATTTAATTGACATTAATCACATTGAACTTTATCTTTAATAAAGTATATGAAAATATCTTAGACCAGAAATGTTGAGTTTTATCTCTTTGTACGCGAAATAAATAAATAAAAATTTTAATATCCATATAATAATTTTTTTTCTTATATGTTTTATATTTCTATATGTACGTCATATAAATAATAAAAATATGTACGTCATATAAATAATAAAAATAATTAACATTATTATTATAAAAGAAAGTATTCAAAAAATATATATCAAAAAATAAAATGATATGTGTGTGTATGATTATATGTTCTCTATTCTCTGTAAATAATATAAATATAAATATATGCTCTAGAGATAAAACCATTATTTATATTCTAAATCAAAATATTTAAAAAATATTAAAAATATTTTCTTTTGTAATATTTATGTAATATATAAATATCACGTGTGTATGTTACATAAATATTACATATATATTTTTATATATGTCGTATAAAATGGTCATATAAAAAAATAATTATAAAACTTAAAAATCAATAGTGCTTCTCATAAGACGCATTAGATCTGGGACCGATGTAGCTGTACAGTCGTATATTATTACATTTTCCTTATCAGCATCCGAACTCACTTTTACGGCATTCTGAAACGCGTTTTTTTTCGTTGTTGTGTGTGTTTTATTAAGAGACTTCCCTGTAAAATTCTCAATACTTCGCAATGGTGCGCTGTTCTGACTTCCATTAGTCTCCTGTTGCATTCGATAAATAAAGATCTTCTTTGGTGATTTGGCAGATTGCCGTGGATGCCACATATTATTTTTAGATTTTTCCTTGTTATTTGATTCTGCATCTTTAGCATTATCCTGCGCGTGATGAGCACTATTTGTATCCGCGCATTTTTCAGATATTCTTTCTTTGACAATTCCGACGGAAATCGAAGTTTTTGGTGTAACATCCAATACGCAATCTCCATGTTTGTTTATATTACATTCAGTTGAAGAGTCCGAAGATTGAGTTTCTTCTTTCCATCCTCTTCCGTATCTTTTCCTTTCATTATGCATATTTTTTTTGTGATCATAATAATCACTTTTTGTGTAAAATGTTTCATCTAAAAAAAAGATTTTTACCTTATTAATCTCATCGGTACTGAATTGATGTGGAATAAAAGGTTAAAAAATATGTGTGTGTATGTGTATATGTGAGATATTTTGAATAATGTGCAACACTTATGTATATAACAAACCAAAAAACAAAACCAGTAAAAATCGTAGTTGTAAAAATTAATAAATAAAGAATAATTTCTCTCTCATTGTATGCACACTATTTTAAATTTATACAATCAATTAATATTTATTATAAACTTTGCGTGTCGTAATAATAAATTTTAAACAATCTTTCATTAGAAATATATAATGTAATCTATTTTTATATTAACACATTGAACGCCAAATGAATTTTGCATGTCTTGCCGCCAACATCAGAAATTTTCATTATTGCAAGCATATAATTTAAAAATATATATAGCATGATTAAATTATTGCCTACATTAATATGCGTAGTGCATTTATCTCATCGGTGATGCTTCGTGCGTATTAATATTATTCAGAAGTTTAAAAGTATCATGATTTATTTGCTGCAAACATTTTAATTAATTTGCACATATCATCTGTCATCATCATACATTGACCATCACGGTATTCAACGTAAAAAGATAATATAATTAAAAAATATATATATACATATAATTTTTTTTAATATCAAAAATTTATAGTGTTTTGTGTTCTATTAATATAAACATAGTATTCGTTATTTTGATACAATTTATAATGGTATCAAAATAATATATTATATTTTTTTATTTTACATAACTTTTCGATTGAAACACCATTGTATTTAGGTAGTCTATAATTATTCCGAAACATACATATATATGGCATATATAAATCGCGCGAATAACCGAATATCACACACACACACATTATTCCTACTTTAATATGCAGCTGAGAAAAAATACTTTTGACATCAGAAATTTTCATTATTGCAAGCATATAATTTAAAAATATATATAGCATGATTAAATTATTGCCTACATTAATATGCGTAGTGCATTTATCTCATCGGTGATGCTTCGTGCGTATTAATATTATTCAGAAGTTTAAAAGTATCATGATTTATTTGCTGCAAACATTTTAATTAATTTGCACATATCATCTGTCATCATCATACATTGACCATCACGGTATTCAACGTAAAAAGATAATATAATTAAAATATATATATATATACATATAATTTTTTTTAATATCAAAAATTTATAGTGTTTTGTGTTCTATTAATATAAACATAGTATTCGTTATTTTGATACAATTTATAATGGTATCAAAATAATATATTATACTTTTTTATTTTACATAACTTTTCGATTGAAACACCATTGTATTTAGGTAGTCTATAATTATTCCGAAACATACATATATATGGCATATATAAATCGCGCGAATAACCGAATATCACACACACACACATTATTCCTACTTTAATATGCAGCTGAGAAAAAATACTTTTGACACATTTCATAATTTTTTGTTGCGTCCGACACACATAATAGATAATACAAATTTATTTACCACAACATCTCCGCGCTTGTGTGGTTTCGTGAAATCGTTTATAATGACGTTCGGCATTAAAACGGCGCGGATATATGTTGCCGCATATCACGCATCGGTATGATGATTTGTCTTCTACTTTGATTTTAACAATATCAGCTATTTTATCAGGCATATCTGAAAAATAATTATTATGTGTATTATTATTAGATTCGTATTAATAATAAATAACGAAAAAATCGACAACTGATAATTCTCGAAATACCACAGACTTCTATATATTATACCTAGATTGCTAATGGATATGTTTCATATGGTAACATGTGAAACAAGGGTAGCCATTTACAATTAGACAGATTGGAAGTGTATATAGTGTATATGTAAGCAAGTGTAAGAATGTGTGTATTAACTCTACCTATATATATGTATATTCTGCCCAATTGTAAATGGCTGCCCTGGCTTCACCTGTCACATCGCTGTTAGCAGTTTAGGTATAATATATGTATAGAAGTCTGTGCGAAATACCAGAAACAAAAAACAAATGTAATTTCAGTTCTATATCTACGGACATATGTTGCCATCCGCCTGCGCACCAATATATTATAAATCTTATTAATTTTTGCGAGTATCATTAATTTTCTTTGATAAAACACTTTTTTCAATGTAAGCTTAACTTTATTTTATCCCATAATGTCGTACATAAAACATATAGAATAGTTGACAATGGCTCTAGCACACATCTCATTTCTTATACGCAGGAAAAAGTAAATCGGAGAAAAATGACACAGAAAGGGAAGCAGAAAATCTTTCACAAAGAGTGAGATTTTTTTCAAAGCAGATTGGTCAATCTCAAGGAATATGATTTTTCTCTATTTTAGCTGTTTTCTGTTGTAACTGAACGTTATATGAATAAAAGTATATAGAGTGGTCCGTAATTCGTGATGCAACCGACAAGTGGCTGATTCTTCATGAAAAAATAAGTCGAAGTTGCAGAATCAAATCTTTAAATCTCATTTTTTTAATTAAAAAAAATTTTTTTTAGAAACTTTTTAAAAGAAAATATCGTGTCTCATTTTAATTTACATATCTTATGTTAAAGTACGTACTAGACACTGTAAACAGAAAAGTAAATAGTGGTCTGTCGAGATCCGCTCAACGGTGTCTTATATTAGTCAAGTGCACGCGTACTCAACTAATATTTAAAGTTGAATTTATCAAAAAGAAAGCCTCATATAAAAAAATTTCATTCTGAAATTTCATTCTGAAATTATGGACCACCCTATATATATGAATAATTTTTCAATACTGTTAGCATTGACAATCTATATCGGAGTACACAGTCACCCAGATAGAGTTATTCCCACAATATTATAGTCTAGAGATTATCTTAAAAAAAAAGAAAAAAATTACTACTTATATATATATATATATGTACTTTTAAATACATTATATTTCTTTAAAAACAGATAGTAAAGATAATGATTCTCTCGCGAGTGCGTCGTGTCCGAAGGAAGTTTTCAAAATCTCCGAAAACATGGTCCAGAGAACTTTGACAACTTTGGCAAAATCAACCGTTGGAAAAATCAGTAAAAAGGCATGTAACAAGAGAATATTGAAATCGAGTATCGTATAATCAATTCGTAAATTGCTTAACTTTGAATTCTACCGTGATAAAGCGAGCACATAATATAGCAAATTATTGTCAAATCACACTGTTTACAATTTACAGATGTATACATTTGTATTTGTTTACTTACTTTTTATCCACCGTACCGTAACACGAGATCCAGAACGCGTATTTTTCCTTGGGCACATTATAATACTTCTTGAAATGCTTCGCTTTTCGTAACGTGCAGATCCTGTGAGTTCATCAACGATGTAACTGCGACTGGAGACTGAGAAAGACTGCGTGGAAATTCGGAGACTCCACACACTGGGCACGATACATATACTCTTCTATTATCAATAGCGCCGAAACGTGCGACCGCGTGCGATCTCCCCCCTCCCAACTTCTTTTGTCATCGCCGCTACCGGCGACGCTTTCACGTCGGTCCCTTTGACCTGCAGTTCGTTATCGGAATTCTTATAATAGATCGATTCCAATAAAAAAAAAGTCACCGTCAAAATAAATAGCGACTAAATGCGTATGTATGGCGATATAATATGACATCGTATTTCTTTGGTTTTCTTGTTAAAATATATTGCGAGTTAAGAGAGAATTTTCACCTTCCAGTAATATACTTCTATTACGATCCTTGCGAGTTGCGTATGTGTGCATGCGTGTGTGCATACAAGTACAAGAAAGAGGGAAAAAAATAAAAGAAAAGAAGCATTCTATTTCAAAAAGATGACACAAATACAGATGGGAAAAATTTTATGGATAAGCAAGTAATAAGAATTCCAGTAATAACATTTCTAATTTATTTTGTTTCTATAGATCAAAGGTATGTCTAAAAGCCTTTTTACGAGATCTCTATTATATTATTTAATTAATAGTAGTTTAGAAAGAGAGAGAGAGAGAGAGCACACATTGCATAATTTTTTTGGTAGAATGTGTGCTTTGCACATGTGCGATATATCGATATTTATAATTAAACTTTAAGTACAGATTATTAGAAGTATAGTATTGAAACACAGTTATGATTTAAGGAAAGCGCATTTTAACGACAGTTTCATAAACACAATATGCAGGCAATTATATGGAGGCAATTATGCGCAAATATAATTAACGGTGATTATTATTCGGAAACTATGTATGCTGTGTTATCGAAATTCACTCGGGATGACCTTAGCAGACGGAGGCCCACTTAAAATTCATAGCACCTGCTGACCGAACGGTAACGAAAGTGTTTCGAGAGCGTTCATTGCGAATACATATCGCGGATACGCAACGATCCGTGAAATTGACAGCGATAACCATTCCGATAATATTCTTAGTTCCCTTGCATAAAAGATAGTATCTGATTTACTACGATATTTTAATATACATTATATCGTTTACTTAATTTGCCTATGATAGAATGTGTTGCAACTATTTCTACTTAATTCTCGTATAAGGCCAAACCTCGCCTTTATACTTATACTTTAGCGTTAGTAGTGATGTCGTGGATCGGCGATTATCGGTTTTATATCGAAGTTCTACGAACGCTCAAGCGATATCCATAAACTGTGTATAAATTTTATATAGTAAAATTTTGGAGGTATATGGAAATGGAAGAGGTGCAATTCCTGGAAAAGGTAAAAGGTATCGATTTGCAATTATACTATCGAAATATTTAAAGCAAAACTAAAATGATTGCAGTCATATTTAAAGATATTTTGTATACATTTATGAATTTTTGAAGAAGAAATTCATGATATAAAATCTTACTTAAAAAGTGCTCATTTTTGTTAGAGTGATATAATGATTTCTCATTATAACAAAGCAATATACTATATAATGTTTCTACTTTCATTATTCTCACATGGAATGTAGCAATTTCTTCAAAAATTAATAGAAGTTATTTTATTAATATGTAAAATTAATTACATGATTAATATATCCAAAATTTAGTTGTAAATTATTTATATTATTTTATTTAGTTCTGGAACCCCCAAAAAATATAAAACAATAATATAAATAAAACAAAATCTTTTATAAAATAGTTAAATATTATATATAATTAATATAATTAATTATTAAATATTTAGCACAGTTTCTCAAAAGAAAATATAAACTTTTATTCTTATGATGTATATGTGTGTTTCAGAACTAATGCCTTTATCCGTTGTTAGAGTGGAAGAATGCAAAGATCATTTGTAATTGTGCAATCGAGTAATTTGGATTTTTCATTATGCAACAAGAAGAACCGCAATTATCCATGGACCCGCTTCCTCGCGTAACATTTATCAAGAGCGCAACGAGAAACGGCTGATTTCCCAAGTGGGCCTGCAACATCTACGATTGTATATGCGAATGCAGTATTTTGCACACATTCATGCAAACATCGCACTATCCGCGTTTATAACATTTATAATTATCTATTTAATTTATTAAATATACAATTGATATTATTGCTAATATGTAGTAACACACATTATTCTCTGCAATATATTCGACCAAAGTTTGCTGTTAATTATTTTTATCTGTTTGTCTATCGTTTATTTTTATGATCACTTTTTAATTATACTTTAGCAATCAAACAGATATGAGTTTATTAATCTATACAATAAAATATAAGTAATAACTTCCGGCTTGTTTTTACAGAATGAATCCACTTTTCATTATTACAAGCCATTAGACAATTAGTGTTCAACGGTTCGTGTGTTAGCTTTATTATCGCTACTTGGATTTATTTTGAATTCACATTATTGGTTCTTCATATCGAAAATAATTGAGCAGATACAAGTCACACAGTGAAGACAATACGATAAAACGGTTAAAAAGAACAGTACCATTATAGTCCAATGGCTCGTATCAGTTATTTTATCGTTACTCGTATTTGTTCAATTACTCCCGATGTGTGAAGCACCAATAACGCGAGATTGATCCATCGATGTGATGGTGATTTGGGATACGAAATATTAAAGACAATAGCGCAGCGAAAGACAATAGAAAACGAAAAAAAAAAAAAAAAAAAATTGTCTGGCAGCAATTTTTATCGGGGCGCCGCAAAGAAACGGACGCGTTCAAATGCACGTGGAAAACGTTCCCGATTATTTAATAGCGCAGCGAAAGACAACAGAAAACGAAAAAAAAAAAAAAAAATTGTCTGGCAGCAATTTTTATCAGTGCGCCGCAAAGTAACGGACGCGTTCAAATGCACGTGGAAAACGTTCCCGATTATTTTCTCAGTACGATTATAGCGGTGCAGCGATTCGCCGCGAGTTGGTACGAAAGAATTATTATGCGAAAAGTTCTGTGCTCTCCTCGTTTCTTCCCTGATGGACGATTAAAAGTTCCACCCGAGTCGAATTTACAAATTCCTTCGGGGGGCATCCCCGTCGGAATGTCGGCATTCGCCGTCGTCCAGCGAAATTAACCAGCCTCCACCAAGTCGTCCGGTCTGAATTAGAATTTAAATCCGCGGAAATCGTCCGCGTCTAATGACGTTATTTCTTTTGACCGCGATTAAGCGTCAAGTCATTTGTCGAGAGTGCTTTTTTAATCGTTTGTATTAGTCTAGTGAGGTCTGATAGAGCATAGTACTTTTTAATACAAAATGTAAGGTAAAATTATATTGAAATACTAAATTGAAACTCTATTTCTTGTATTTATTTCTTATAGAAATAGCTTTTAATCAAACTTCTTTTTTTTTTGCTTTTCTCCTTTATTTATTAAATATACAGGGTTAAATGTTCTTAAAATATGAATTTAGGACCTCAAAACAAGAAAAAATTTTTTTCTGGAGATATGCCCGTAAACGCTTTGTTTAAAAGATATTGACATCTAAACATTTTCATTATAAAATTTTATGACATTATTATCAGGTTATAATAAATAAATTAATTGTATGTTTCAACTACTTTGTTACTGGAAAATATGAAAATTTTAACATGATCACTATTAGAATAAATGAGAGACATAATGATGATTCGCGAATGATGACGATGAGAAAGTTTCTCAGTAATATGTCAATATGGTGTTTGTGTATCATTTTTATAATGGCAATATTGACATGTACAGTTACGAAAACAAGTACGTATTAGCACAGTCATAATAAACAATAAATTTATTATTTCTACTCGTAACTTTAGAATCAATATGTCAATATTTCTTAAAGTGTTTACGGGCATACCTCCAGAGGAAAATTTTTTCTTGTTTTGAGATTCTAAATTCATATTTTAAGTTAGAACATTTCATCCTGAAACACCCTGTATTATAAGTTAAAAAAGATGGATGATAAGTTTTATACTGCATTTTATCACAACGAGATATAGATTCTTTTTATTTATTTTTATATTTTTATATTTATTTTTATTTTCTTTTAAAATGTGTATGTAAATTTAATTTTACTGCTATAATTTTTTCACACTTAAAAAGGCATGTTAAATCGATATTCGCAAATATTGTCGTCTCTTTTCCGCGATGCTAATTGTTTATCTCGATACTGCGGTGTGCATTACTTCATATCAATAAAAGCCAGTCATGGCTGAGCATTTGACACTTCAAGTATTAAAAGTGAGTGTGTAATTTTAATTTAATTGATTTTAAAACGAAGAACTAGAATTAATATGTAAGTAATTATACACCACACACATACATACACAAAATAATATTTTAGTATAACTATAATTATAATGATTACGAGAAACTTATGACTGAAATTTATTTCGGTCAAATATTTATTTCAAATATTTATTTCAAATTTAATATTTATTTCATCACCACGAATGCAAAATATCGATTTTTATGTTAAGATGACGTGTAGGTGAAATTCTATAACACACTCGTCGTGTTTTGGATTGAATCGATTTAGTTCAAATATTTCTATTACCAAGGATTGACATGGTATACATTTTGTTTTTATATCAGGAAAGGAATTCGTCAGGCGCGAGCTTGTGCTTGTTTACGCGCATTCCGTCACTTCGTGAAAACTCGGTCATCTTCGAGGGCGTTCGCGGCGTCGGCGGCGCCACGTCGGGTCGGTCGAAGGGCTATAGTAGTCTAGTAAGCGTGCGACGCAGCATTCGTCGTGGTAGTAGTGCCGCGGACGCGAAAGAGAACGAAGGGGATCGAACTCGCGTTTGCTAACAGCGGGTGGCCGGCAGCGACCGCAGTCGACAGTCGGAGCCGGTCGCTCGTCGTGTGAGCNNNAACTGTCAATCCGTTGTCGCGCGTCACTCATCGCTTGTTCATTCACCGTGGTCGAAACGCGTTCGCGATTGTGATTAATTGGTGCGCCGTCCGCAGCTAAGGCAAGTGTGTGTCAAGTGTGTGGTTAACAACGAGCACGGCAGAGAAATAAGACTGCGTCGTCGACTTGATTGAGACGTCATAC